AATAGAAGTGAAGTAAAGTATCGAGAAGATAAAATGCCGCCAAAAACTAGTGGGAAAGCAGCAAAGAAAGCCGGTAAGGCCCAAAAAAATATTACCAAGAATGACAAGAAGAAGAAGCGGAAGAGGAAGGAAAGCTATGCAATTTATATCTACAAGGTGTTAAAACAAGTACATCCAGATACTGGTATTTCCTCGAAGGCAATGAGTATAATGAATAGTTTTGTTAACGACATTTTCGAACGCATTGCTGCTGAGGCATCGCGTTTGGCTCACTATAACAAACGTTCAACTATCACCAGTCGCGAAATTCAAACTGCTGTGCGTCTACTTTTGCCCGGTGAATTGGCCAAACATGCCGTCAGTGAAGGTACTAAGGCTGTTAACAAATACACTAGCTCCAAGTAAATTGTCTATTGAGAATGCACGTGTGTATAACGACCATAGCAATACAATGTAATTAAATGGAGTTATTTTTTGAAATTTCAGTAATGATATTAATAAATACTTTAATATTAAAAATTCTCAGATCATTTTATTATGGAAAATAGTCAATCGCAAAATTCAATATAATCGTAATAGAATATTTAACTTATTTTTATTACACAAGCGGTTTATGTATATTTGGGGCCTATAAAGATATTTTAAATTGAAACACCTTTTTAGTAAGCAAATGATGATGATAATTTTTATGTAGAGTGTATTTCTTCCATCCAGGGTGCGGATCACTGAATAAATTACTTCCCTATTTTAGTTATGAGATTTTTATTTATTTTTTCACTTATATCAATTTTCTTTCTAACAAACGAGTTGATCAATGATTAAAGATATTTTTTTACATGTAGTAATATTTATTTATATTACTATATAGTTCTACATACAGTTGTATAGTGGAAGGAGAATGATAGGGATAAAGGAGAGTATTTAACCATAAATGATATTTTTTCGAATAGGTCAGTCCCTGTTCAACTTCTCGGCAAGAAGGAGAAACTTTCATTTCATTCAAGCAAAAAGCCACTTATGTACCAAATATCAATCAAATCCAACCATAAATAAACTTTTTTAAATAAGCCAGTCCCTGGTCCACTTCTAAGGGAGAAGTGTAGTCTTCTTATTAACCTAAGCAAAAGTCCACCTATGTACAGAATTTGAAGTAAATCGGCCCATAAATTAAATTTTTTCGAATAGGTCAGTCCCAGATCCACTTCCAGAAGTTTATTTAGTAAAACCCTTCCCAAGTATCGTAGAAGTACACTGACGAAATTTTAAGTTAATCGACCTTTATTAAACTTTTGAAGAACACCCGTTACAAACCGAAATAAGGGGGTTTTTTTTTAAGAAGTCACTCCTTGAGCGACGTCCCAAATTTTTTTTCTGAAAAACCTTTCTCAGGAATCTGAGAAATAATCTGACGAAATTTCAAGTCAAAATTTTTGGGAATTACTGGATTTTTCCAAGCGGCCATAAGATTTTTATATACGAGTATAAGAAATATAAGAAATAGAAAAGTGCTATTTTTAAAATTTTCCCAACAATGATTCGAATTCTTCTCTCCATTTAAAATTTCCCTACACCTCCGCGAACATCTCAAGACCAAGATAAGATAAATGCATTAGGCCTTCCTTGAGTTTTTGCGAGACTAACGAACAACAATTCATTTTCATATACAAATATATGTAGGTACGCCTAGGAGTATATGCGGACACGGTCACTTTTAAAAAATCACGCGTTCCATTCGCCACCACTGCGAGCTTAAGACGAATAACTTTATCCAAACCCATTTACCTCGATCAGCTATTTGTTCCCTTCGTTTATCTTTACCTTACTAACGCACTAAAAATATTTGGATTAATATCAAATTCGAGTGATATAGAAATAATGATTAGCTCATCCATTTCGGTCATAAAGCGAGCAATGAAAGCATGTTTGTTAGTTTTTGTCTTCTCACTTTTTGATAAATTTTATGTCTTTTTTGATAAGGTCAAACTGAGGAAAGTCTTACTAAAAATATTTCAGAAATTAACCTTTCTGCTCTCCTTTTGGAACTCAAACAAAGCTCAAAAAATACTCCGTTTCCTCATCATTACGAGCTCAAAAGGAGTATTCGCTCGTAAGGACATACAATGCTAAAAAGAAGTAATAAATACATGAGACTCTTTGTGTATATATTTATATTCATAAATGAGTGTGTCCATATAAATAAATATTTACCTGTTATAGTTGCTGTGTATGCCAGGCCTTTGACTTGTGGTTTTCTCATCTTTAACACCCCCTTTTGTAAAATTACTTTACTGTGAATGTAATTTGAAATAGCAAACTTTGAATTTTAAGCTAACGGCATCATTTTGATTTTTGATTTTACCAAAACGTTTCGACTACTCATACGGTTTGCTTGTGGAAATATATAAGTACATATAAACATTCACACATTAGTTTTCCTATAATTGCATCAGAAAATTTTAAGTGAATTAAATTTTAAGTGAAGTAAGTCAAGTGAAGGTAAAATGCCAT